TAAAAAAAAAAAAAAAAAAAAAAAAAAAAAAAAAAAAAATTTGCTTTCTGTTCCAATCATTTAATCTTTTAAAAAATTGTCACTTCAGAAAAATCTATTAAAATGAAAAACTCTCAGCAGTGATTTTAATTTTTTGGCACTACCACAGTTCAGAATGCAAGTAGTTGCTTTGAGAGTCTATTTTAGGTTCCAGAGAAACAAAATGCATAGAAGCACTGAGACATGAATGCAACCACTGCCCGGGCCAAGCCAAAGGTCAGTGAAACAGATCTTGCTGTCATAACCCCCAAAGGAAGAAGAAAAAAGGAAGAACAACCCCAAGCTCCGAGGCCTCTCCTCCCCAGCCTGGACCATCCGAGTCCACTGAGTCCAGTCCTGGCTCCAGGGCAGCCCCATTCCCACCCATTGTGGCAGCGAGGACACCTGCTCAGCACCTGCAGCACAGCTGACTCCACAGACGCTCCTCACCCTGCAGCGCAGCAGAGGGTAGGAGGGCCCGTCCCAAGTCGCCAGCTCGCCCTGACTGTGCCTGTGAACCTGGCTGATCACTGCGAGGTGGTCCCCTCGGCACCTCAGATGAGCCAAGGGTGTGGGAGCAGGCACCTGAGGCCCAGATGCGCCAGGTGTCTGTCACAGGCCCTTGTCGAGAGCAGCTGTCACTTGCAGGGTTCCTAAGCTGCCCTGACTGTCCCAAGACCTGAAAGTCATGGGAGTCACTCAGGACACTGCTGTCTCCAGCCAGAGGACAATGAACAAACTGAAAGAAGGCAAGACTTTGACTGGCCGAGGGTTTCCAGGCTGTTCTAAGATGGCCTGTGTTATCAATTCCACAACAGCAAACTTTCGGTCAGGTCAGGGCCTCCAGATCCTCCTCGCCACCTCCAGGCCAGTTAGCAGAACAGATCCATGCTCATACATGAATCTCAGGTAGTATTTTCCGCTATCAAAAAGTAGTTTTCACCCAGGCTTTATAAAAGCCTGTCCACACTGCTTACCGATCCCAATAGCAACACTGCATAAACCGAGAAAAGTGGTTCAACAAGTAAGTGGCACTCAGAATACAATTGCAAAACGAGAAACCAAAGGTTGGGCCAGGGGGTTAGCTCAGTGGCATTGCACCTGCCTCGAAAGCACAAGGTGCTGAGTTCAGTCCCCGGTACAAAAACAAAACAAAACAAAACAAAGGTTGTTCTATATTACTAAACACACAGCACAGCCCAAAGTATTCCCCCCATGAGCACAGGGACTAATAATGACAAATGAAGCATTCACTTCACCAAGGAAGACACTACGAGCCCACTGTGTAACTCGTGATCTACATGTCCCACAAAAACACCCTGCACTGAGTCCTCTAGGCCCTCGCAGCCCAGGTGAGAACCAAGGTCCACTCCGGCCACGAGCAGCTGGGCTGCTCTGACGTCACACGCCTTGCTTCGGCACGGCCCGCGTGCACTCGTGGACGAGCAGACGCCCAACACACCCTGGGGTGGAGATGGGGCCCCGGAAGACTGCACTGAAGGGAAAGACATGTCGGATCTGAGTGAAGCTCGCATGCCGGAGGGCAGCGTTGAGGGCCAGGTGGATGCCACGCTGCGCTTTTATAATTATGTGACACAGAACTTGAGAATTATAGAAATCCATGTCACTGAACCTCCACAAACCACAAACTACAGAAATGTTAATTCAGGAATAGCACATTTCACTGTTTTCTTTTCAAGTGCTTTTGGGGGAGAGGTATGAGCTACTTTTGCCTTATTTTTATTGTTTATTTTAGAGTAGGCAGTTTCAGATCAACAATTCTATTACAAAGACTTTACCACTAATATGCAAGCACTTTTTTAAAGTGAAAAAATGAATCACTAGTAAAAGGACTCTGCCACGCTGGCCCACGTGGTTACTCCATCAGCAGGCGCCAAGCAAGCAAGCATCCACCATCAGCTCCTCTCCCCGCTAAGTCACCTCTCCAGCCCTGTTTCGTCATGATGATGCCAAAAGATCAAACCAAGGTCAAAGTCTCAAGCAGGAGCAGACCCTGCCCTGCCCTGCCTCCTGCCTCCTGCCTCTGCCTTCTGAGTTACAGAAATAAAGTAGCTTAAATATACTAAGGATAGGATCCATTAATTAAGGGATTTAGTTAGATTTGCAATAAATTATTGCTCTATGGGCATTTAATAATCCCTACAAGACTGGGCTAGTTGCACATATAAAACCTGGTACTTGGCTCTAATAGGGAAGACTGCACTTCAGTTGTAACTGGACTGTCTAGGGCTCAGAGTTGTACACAATCGCTCCTCTACACTTTGGGCTCCAATGCCACCGAGGACAGGCACAGGAACTAAGCTTACTGCACACTCACCAAGCAAACAGAGTTCATGCTCCTTCTCACCCGAATGGCATTCCTATTGCCAACCAACGCAACTGCCTGAGTGAAAACGAGCACAAAACGCAGCGGCACGTTTACAGTATAGTAGGGCTAAAGTCTAACATAAAACAGCTTGTGGAAAACAAAAATCAGTTTGAAATCTGTAGTCCTCTGAGATTTCAAGCACTCACACACTTCCAGAGGAAGACAGGAACAATCTGTCCATGTGCAGATCTGGCCCTCCTCAGGGACCAGGAAGACTAAATATGAAGACAAGCCCATCGCCAGAGAGCACACTGTGTCCTGATGCTTCTCTAACATGGGCCGGCGACCTTACACCCTCCTGCAGAGCAGCGGCGCTAGCTGAGGAGGGTCAGGCGGCCAGCTGTGCCCCCCATGCACAGAGGTGAGCAGATCTGCTCTACGGGGCCAGAGTGAGGCACAGGAAGTTGGGCACTGGCGGCTTCTCCAGCATTCACACACAGCGATCACTCAGATATGGCACCACCAGTCTCAAACCACCTGGGCCAACGGGACGGGATGGGACGGGACGGGACAGCTCAGCCAACAAGACAGAGAGCACAGCACTGGGCGTACACTGCCCAGGACAATGAGGGAGACGTACCACAGAGGTTTCCTTGGAATGGAGTGAGAAAATGGGATGGTTCTGAACTATTCTTCAAAATAAAGTAAAATCTTAAATTAGAAATTTAAATTAGAAAAATATCTCGAGTCCACCCCAATCCTAACCCCTACACTGTATGAATATCAAAGTCACCATGGTAGAAACAATTAGCTTTCAGAATGGTTACACAACTCTGCTAGAAGCCTCTGCTAAAGAAGGTATGTCACTCCGGGAGGCTGACGCAGGAGGACTGCGAGTTCAAGCCCGGTCCAGGTAACAGTGATTCAGCAAGACCCTGCCTCAAAATAAAAAAGGTCTGGAGACATAGCTCAGTGCAAAGAACCTGGGTTCAACCCCTAGTACCAGAAAATTTGAAGCAGCAGCAACCACAGCAGTGTGTCTCACACAGAACAGCATCTCCTACTCAGATACAAAGAAAACCTGTACTTCTTACGGTGTTAATAACATCAAGTAAACCCCAAATGTGATTCCTCTTCCTAAATCCATTTTAGCTCTAATCTGTTGTTTCCCCAAGAAGAATATATTTCACACTGATAACGCCATGAGACAAAATTTTAAATGAGAAATTCTTGTTTTTATGATAATCCCAGACTCCCTGATGTCACGCGCTCCATTCGTCTGCCAGCCTCCCTGACACCAAATGAACATCAGGCCTCAGTGGTAAGCAGCCCCGCGCCAAATCCACAGGGAAAGGCAGAAGCACACTTGGTCCTGTACCACGCTGCAATGTGCCCTTCGCTTATCTTGCATGAGGCGGGAATCGGTAGCAGCCCTCCTCACCTCCTCAGAACCAGCGTCAAAGATTTGGCTGCCCTGACCTCAAAACTCATCCATGCACAAAAGCCAGCATACCAACATTCACAGCACTGTACTCTACAACAGCCAAGACGTGAAAACAGTCCAAATGTCATCAACAGGTGACAGACAAACACTGTGGCCTCTGCCCCTACCGTGGGCTATCACCAGCCGTGAGAGGGATGCAGTGCCGGCGCTCCCTACAAGCTGGATGGCACACAGCCTCACTCATGAAGAGGCCCACAGTGCATGCATTGCTGGGAAGAGCGGACTGGGAGCGGAAAGGGCCCTGGGTCCTTCTCCGATGATGATGGTGTACCGTGTAAATACACCAAAGGCCACGGTGTCGGCCTTCTGTTCTGTAACAGACACCCGAGACAAACTGACCCCTGAGAAGGGGCTGATCTGGCTCAAAGCTCATTTCAGAGGCTTAAGTCCACGGTCACTTGGCCCTGGGGCTCTGGCCCTGTGGCAACAACATAGCACCAGTGGCAGAGACTTCCACATGGTGCGGGCAGGAAGCAAGAGCCAACCAGGAGAGTCCAAGTAGCTGGAGTCAGGTGACACACGCAAGCCCACGGCTAGAGGTTCAGCCACCTCCCAGCAGCACCACCGGCTGGCCCTTCGGGACTCAAGATCCAGATCTGAGCAACCACGGAAATATATGCTGCCAAAGGACCAACATTATGGTGTATAAAATAAATCTCCAGCCGGGTGCAGTGGAGCACACCTGTAATCCCAGAATGCGAGAGGCTGAGACAGGAGGATCGCTGTGAGTTCGAGACCAGCCTGAGCTACATAGTTCCAGGTCAGGCTCAACTACATAGTGAGACCCTGTCTCAAAAAACCAAATAAATGAATAAATGAATGAATAAAATGGATCTACATTTTGTTTTGAAAAGGTTGCTGCCACTTCTGTCTCTTGAGCACTTAGAGCAGAGGTGAAAGCCATATGAAAATACTGCTGCCTGTGTTTGAGATATAGTAACAAACTTCTCATAGGAAAATCTCTGTTCAGGAAAAGTCTACTGCTGTACTGTTTACAGGAAAAAGCAACAAGTCAGTCGAGGGAGGAGAAAAGCCTCCTAAGAGAGCTTCTGAGCTCGAGCCATAAAGCCAAAACTGAGTTCTCTCCTTTTTCTCCATGTTATTTAGAGCAGTCACCAAAGATGCACAGGGCCCCAGGTGACATGAGGCCTGTAAGGCAGACTGGGGTGACAGGAGTCCACAGGACAGGCCAGCAGGCACACCACAGACCCCTCAGGAGAGAAGGGCTTTCTCTACCTCGGGGATCCCAAGAGCCCCCGTGGGAGTCCACGCAAGACACACAGACTCTGCCGCCAGCCACAGCCACCTCTCCTGCAGATCCCTGCTGGGAGAGCCCGTGAAGCTCATGCCATGGGGTTTGGGCACACTTCACTCTCTAAGCCCAGCGGGCGCCCTCTGGGCAGAGTCTCTACACCCAGACATTCATCCAAGGGAGGCCAAAGACCGCTATCAGAAGCTGTAACCCTGCTTAGACTGCAAAAATGCTATGTCCCAGCTGCCACCATCAGAAAGCACCCTGGACACTGTTAAGTAAAACTAGACTATAGGTAGTGCACACCTATAATCCTAGAATTCTGGGAAGCTGAGGCAGGAGGATCACAAATTCAAGCCCAACCTGGGCAACTTAGCAAGACTTTGGCTCAAAATAAAGAAATTAAAATAGGCTGGGGATGTAGCTCAGTGTGAATGCTCTGGACTCAACCCCCAGTACCACAATAAAAGAAAGAAAGAAGTGGATCCGAAATAGATGTGTAAATCTGTGTTAATGTGGAGAGATCTCTACTCTGTGGAGGGAGAGCGAGTTATAAAGTCATAAAGGGTGCATCTCACATAGAAGAGCCTTGGAAGGCTGCCACCTCCAAAGGCTATGGTCTCAGGTGACTCTGGCTTTCTTCATACCTTCACGCTGTGCCCCTCCCTGAGAGTGAGAGCGGAGCTCACCTCAGCCGAACTGGGGACGCACCTTCTGAGTTCAGCGTGATGAGTGTGACATTGCTGCCAATGCTCTGGCTCCCAGGCTGGCCGCAGCTGGACACGGAGTCGCTGGCCTCCGAGCCACTCTCCCCGTCTTCGTTGTGGCTGTCATCTTGACCTGGCACCTTCACCACGATGGTGTTCTGCCGACGCCCAGGGACAGCGCTGAGGAGAAAAAGCATACGGGCCTGTTGTGAGAGAGACAGGGACACAGTGCGGCCAGCCTCATCTCGTTCACAGTCCTGGGCCTGGGCCTCACCCCAACCTCTGCCTGGGCATGGACCACGGACCGGTGCACCTCCCCACATAGCTCTGTCTACAGAGGCTGGCATCAATTTAATGCAGAAAGAGTCTGGGGCTGAAATAAAATGGTATAAAATAAAACAAACATTTAAAGAAAATATTGACATCACCAAAGAAGTCCTGGCCTGACTCAGCGTGCCCGGCCTAGCACGCTCCCAGACTCCAGAGCAGTGCGGACTCGAGCAGCCACTGGGAGGGCTTCGTCAGGGGAGAGACTGCACAAGGGAGCTGGACCACTCCTTCCACGCTGCCAGACGCCCGAGAGCAGAGTCAGCCTCCAGAAACGCAGTCGCACCCCACTCACTCCCATAGACACGCCACAGAGTGGGCTTCCAAGGCCCATCAAGAGCTCAGGAATCCCCCGGGAGCTACTCTCCGATCACAGGCCCTGACCCACAGCAGCAAAATCCAGCCAGCAGAGAGGGACCACACGGCCAGCTGCAGAGTGAGCAGGGAACAGGGCCGTCTGGAGACCGTGACCTGCCTTCTGAGCAACTCCGACCGCAGTGTGCGAAGCACCCAAGAGGGAAGAAAGCAAGAGTGCCCATCAGCATGCCGCGCCCTGGCCACCCGGGAGGGCACCTCACTTGTGCTTCCTGGACTCAGCCCACACCGGCTCACTGCGCTCTGGGCCCGACCTTGAGCTCAGTGTCGCCCCACGGCAGGCACATCCTCCCCCTAGCAGCTGGCCAGCCTCGGGGACCCTGCACCTCCCTGCCACCCACAGATCAGGACCGAGACTGCTGCTGCCACCTGGAGAACTGGACTTAGACAATGAGAAACCTGCACAAAGATGGAGGAGCAACAGTCTGCAGGAGAGATGGAGAAAAAGGCAAAACAGGACATACAAAGACACAGATGGTAAAACAGAAAGCAACAAAGCCCTCACATGGAACATGCAGCCCGGACACTGGGCAGAGCTGCCTGCAGCAGCCTCCCCAGAACACAGTAGGCGTCCACTCCCATTTCTGACCAAGGGTCCGTCCAACACATCCCAAAAGAAAAGGTGTATGAAAAAAGCCATGAACTCAGCATGCCTAAGACCCGTAGCGAGCCCACAGAGGGTGTCATGACCTGACATGCTGCTACGGGGACAGACAGACATGGCTGACCCCTGGCTGCTGTGAAAGTACACTGTCGTCTCCTCTGTCACATGTCAGCTCTAGCACAGCCATCCCCATGGCCACTTTCGCTCTCTGAGCCTCGTCCCACCCCTCCAGCACTGCGTGCCACCCCCGCCCCCCAACCTCACAGAGCTATGGCAGTGCCTGCCAGCATCATCTCTGCCACCAGAGAGGTGGGCCGCGTGCTCGTGCTGTGTCCCGGCTCGGGACAGGACTTATTCTCATTACATGGCAGGGGAGGGTGGGGTGGTGCATGGCTACTGACTTGCTAATGATATTTTCCAGGGAATCCGGTGCCCTGCTGCTCAAGGGATCTTCCATCTTGGCTACAATGGCGTTCTGCCGATCATTGTTGAGAATTACTGTAGTCTGGGGGACGACGCTATAGAACAAAAGAATCACAAGAAAAAGAAGACCTTAAAACAACAACATTCATTGTCAGAGCACATCAGAGTCATTCAATATATCAATCAGCTCCCAGTTGCCTGCACTCAGGGAGCTAGTCCAGGGAGGAATCACTTAATCTGAGACTGTGGACGAGGGTTCTTTGGCGAGCTTTAAATTCTAACTGCCGATGCTCTCGGTTTTTGCACTGCCGAAGGTGGGAAAGCCGAGCAGAGGAACAGGCTAAGGTGTCCCCGAAGTGTCATCTGCAGCAGCAGGTCTGTTTGAAAACCAGCTTCCGTGACTCTCAGCCCCTCCCTACTGGTGCCCAGGCAGCACACAGGGGCTCAGGCTGCTTGTGCTGGGGCCACCCCTCAGTCAGCACTCTGCAAAGAGCGGCAGCATCCTGGCAAGTGCACAGACCACACCACAGGCCTCGAGGAACCACTATGCTCCCAGGAACACAGCTACAGACCCAGCAGAAGCACCAGTTTGTGTAAACAGGCAGGGCCAAGGCAGCTGACTGGCAAGCATCGTCCATTCCCAGTTTTCAATCAGTCATGTGTTTAACCCTCAGCGTTCACGGTCACAAGAAACTTCTGGAGTACTCTCTGCTGTGAGAGGGTGGGCAAAGATATTGCCTGAGAAGAAAGCACTGCTCTTTCTCAGGGGAAAGATGGCTTTTCTATGATTTGCATATGTGAAAACTCTAGCCAGGTATGGCTCCACGCCCTGCAACTGCCGCCACCAGTGTAAGAACAGCATTTTCCCAAGTCAATCGTGACCACAGATGACTTTCCAAATGAAAAGTGTGGTCAAACACATGTCAAAGGTGGTGTTTTCTCTAACACTCAGCTTGTTCTTTGGTGACACTTCAAGTAACCCATCAAACCAAGGCAGACATCCACAGACCAGGTATCAAAAGTAACCCAGGTGACTTCTGACTTGGTTACTATAATCAGGGCCTGGCTCCAAAATCACACTTCTCATATATGCAAATGAGGAGACTAACATGGGATTTATTTGAGTTTGGGATTTACCCAGTTCTATCAACCTCAAATTTACCAAAAAATCATTTTTCAAAAATGATGAAACTTCATATCACCTTAAGAATGAAGTAGCTGGAATGGAAATGTGGCTCAGGGGTAAAGCACTTGCATAGTATGCGCAAGGCCTTGGTTCCATTCTCAGCACTGCCAATAAAAAAAAAAGAAAGGAAAGAAAGAAAGATAAGTAAGTTATGTAAGAACGGATAGATACAGAGAGCCAAGGATTTAGCTCAGTGGTGCTACCGCCTGCCTTGCAAGCTAAAGGTCCTGAGTTCCATCCCCGGTACCAAAAAAAAAGAGAAAAAAAAAAAAAAACCTGATATAGAAAGAGTCCCACAGTACTATTACATGGCAAAAATCAATAAACAAATGTAGACGTGCATGCGTGCATGCAAATGTCACTGGAAGCATTTTCAGGAAAGCAGGAGAAGAAATTATGAAGCTAATGTCACTTTCTGAACACGATGGTACTTTGTCACAGGCCTATGAGACTGCAGGTCACCTGCGTGTCTTCTCGTTTTCACGTGTCACTTTCTGGGGGTCTGAGCTGAGCTACAGAGCGGAGGGCTGGAGCACTGGCTGGAGCACTGCCAGACATGGGCTCTGCAGATGGAATTAAAAGCCCTCACTGGTCCACCTGAGTCCATTAAGGGGAGTCTGGCTCAGGTGTGCCTGGCCTCTTCAGGGGCCACTTGAAAGGGAGGCCTAGGTTCCTAACGACTCCCACTGGCAGGGGTGCAGCCTGCTGTGCCTCCCCTCCAGCCCCGTCCCAGATTCTACCCACCCTCTGCACCTCACCACTGTGTACACCAGATCCTTACAAGACGCCCCTCACAGGGCTAGTGCTCACTCTCTCACACATGCACAGAGCACACACATGCATGCATACAGCCTTCTAACCGGTTCTCTGATTAAACCCTGACTCATGTTTTTAAATAGTCACAGAAGAAAACCGCACATCCTGTGAACTCTCCCCCAGCAGTGATACCCTCTGTGCCCTGTGCCTCCACAGCAACAGCACAAAGCGATACCCCGGAGGAGCCTGCAAGCCTCGTGAGGGTCTCACCAGCTCCTGCGTGCATGCATGGACAGTGTGTGCATGTGTGTGGTCCTGGGCAGTGGGTCCTGTGCAGCTGCCACCCCCAGATGCAAGACTGCCCTGTCACCTAGAGGAGCTTCCTCCGGCCACCACATCCAGCCCTGCCCTTTAACCACCACCCTCTGTTCTCCACCTCCACATTATGACCCTGGAGACCACAAGTTGTCCAGGTTGGCTCTGCCCCCTACGGGATACCCCAGGAGCTGTATGGCAGTGCACATCAACACAGTCTCTACGGCATGGGGCACTGGTTTATCTCACCAACCTCCCATCAGAAGGCACCTCACAGCTCTGGGCCACTACAAATACAGCTGCTGTTAGCATCTGGATGCAGATCTGTCTGCTTCCCTGAGATAAATGTCAGGGGCTGCCCGCTGTCCCACCATTGTGGAGACCTCCAGTGTCTCCACATCCTCACCCACATCGGTGCTGGGGCCACTTCTGACACAGGGCTGGGACAGAGCACTCAGGTCCCACTGGAGCTCTGAACAGCATGCCACAGAGGCTTGGATGCCAAGCAGCTGGCACCCACTGTTCCGCACCAGATCTCTTCCCTGAGGATACATCTGGCTTATGATCTGCCCAGTTACCAGGCAGACTGGTGAGCTTGAGAGTCCTCATCTTTCCACTGGCAGTGTGTTGACAAGTGTCTTCTCCCCTCCAAGTCTTTCTTTCCATCTATGCATCAGGTCTAAGAAGGTTTTGCCTTGCTCTAGACCCCAAAGACCTTCTGTGTTTTCATCTCAGTGCTGTAATTTCGCCTCTAGATCTGTGATCTCTTCCACGTTAATCCCATGCAAAGTGGGTTCCATCCAGGCTCCCTCTCTGACTTCCTACAGGGTCTGGTGGCACCCACATCATCTACTAAAAGCGGTCCTTCGCCGCGCTGCTTCTGCAAAGGTCAGCCAGGCACGTTAAGTCCTTACAGGGCTAATCTTGGGTTCTCTGGTCTGTTCCATCAGCAGCCAGTTAACTGTCCACGGTCGCTTTGGACTTTTTTTTGGTAGCAGGGATCGAACTCAGGTCCTTGTGCTTGTGAAGAAGGCAATGGAACCACCAAGCTAAATCCCCAGCCCCCACGCCGTTTTGGACTTTTAACGTTCTCTCTTACGATTTCCACCCATTCTTCTCCATCCAGTGGCTTATTATGTTTTGCTTTACACTCTCTCCGCTAGACAAGCCTCCTTCTGTCTGTGCTGTCCAAGGATGCATCCCACGTGCTGAGGACATAGGTGAAGCCTTCTGGCCTCAGGTGTGAGTGAATTAAAACATAAGCTCCTCCTAGAGGTAAATGCCTCTCAATACTCTGGTCCTCAGGCCAAAAGAAAAACAACTGAGGATCATCAAAAAATGACCAGAACAAAGGCCTCAGGACACACACCCAATGGACAGAGGGTGTCAGAAGACACCGTGCTGAAGGAGACCCAAAATGCCTGTGGGCTTCCTGGACCATCGAGAGGCTGGGCCCCTTTGGCACTTGGGGCAGGACCTGCACTGCACCACCAATCTCCCAAACCTCACGGAGTCCCTGAGGGCTCAGCACAATCCCAGCTCGCCAATTATCCCCTTGCTCTGGAGAGGGCACATGCATGGCAGTCTCCCCAGAGACTGGTGACCTGGCTGCAATGGAAGCCAGGTACTCTCGAACACCTCACTGTGGAACCGCATGTCAGCTACTGGCTTCTCAGGGCGTGCATGTTCTAACTGCTCACCTCGACAGATTTCAAACAGGCAACCTTCACCATTCAGAAAAGCATGCACACATTTTCCAAGAAAGGCTTATAAAGTGGGCTTCAGCTCTGCCTAAATTCAAGGCAATTCTTTGTCTCAAAGTTGTGTGTATGCGTAATCCCTGTTTTGCAGTGCTGGGTGGGTCCCAGAGCCTCACCTACTCTAGGCCAGCTCTCTACCCCTGCACTGCGACCCCAGCCTGCCCCCTTTGCTCATCATCCACACCTCGCCCCCGACTTTCACATTCACAGGGGAAACAAAGCTGTGCTCCACATGTCCCTGCAAAGCCAGGACCCACGTGCCAGGCTAAGAGCCTCAACAGGGAAAAGGAGAAAAAGCAGACGAACAACAAACACGTCAGGCATCTGAAGTCCACTGCTGCAGCAGGACAGCCAGGCACACATCCCCATCCTTCACTGGCACAGTCCCGGGTCTGCCCATTGGTGCGGTGTTCAGACCAGCCAGGCACAAGGCAGGCATGCCTCCTCTAGGAAGAGGAAGACACAGGGTCCCCTTCCCAACCACAAAGTCACGCATGATAGAAGGCACTGAGCATCAGAGCCACAGAGTCTGCTGCGGGGCCACATTCACGGTGCTGTGTGAGCACAAGCAAGAGGCACCGCCACTGTGTCAGCTCACAGCCTAATGCTTCTCCTGCCACCGCCTAACTCCAACTAACCAACATGGGCAAATCCTGCTCTAAATAGTCTCAACTGCTTGCAAGTTAAAAATTAAAAATTCATAATAAAAACCAGGGATCTTACCCTTAGGGTAAAAACAAGTGAGCATTAAATTATTCCTTTCAACATCTAATGAGATATGCAAAATATCATATAAAACCACCCTCCCAAACAGCCAACTGCACAAGAGAAAGGAAAATAACCCAGTGTAACAACTTCCAAAAAGGGACCACAGGAGAAAAGCTTCTAGCACCAATCAGCCCACAAGGCTTAAGAACCAGCCCCTAAGAGCTACAGTGCACACCAGCAGAACCCTCAAGTCCTTCCCGGGAGGCCCAGACCAAAAGAACAAGCTGCTTATAGTAGGCACTTCCTCTTCTCTCCTAGGAGTTGCAACCAATGCTCAAGAGGGCAGCACATCACCTCTGGAGCTCCTTCC